ATGTTCAATTTTTGTTAATGGTTTGAAAGTAAGGGACAATATTTTAGAAGTAAACAGCATTAATTATAAAGTCTCAATGATTGATGAAATTCATTCAATTGTGCGATTTTTTAAAAAATCAAATGTTTGTGTGAGACAATGTACTAAAGAAAAGTATGTTATTTATTTGAATAATAATATTTTGTTTATTAACATTATTTATAATATGTTATAGGGTTTGAATATGCAACTTACTTAAGAGGTGACTACCTATACTCAAATTCTCTGGGTCCAAAAAATAATCATGAGATAATCGTGAATTTAGAAAATAAGGGCTCAATGATGAAGCTTATTGCAAGGTTGACTGCAATCTTCTTGTCTTAGGTAGCAACGTATGTGCAAATTGTAGAACATTGCGCAATACACTATATCAAATTGAAAACTGATATAAAAATAGTGTCCAATCTATTAAGACATCACATGCTTCCAGAGAAGTTTTAGCCGAAATTGTTCAAAAAGTACAAAAAGTATTTATTTTAAGTTAATTTCAATTCAATAAATTATACTTATTATTAAAGAAATATTATTATCTCAGACAATCCAATCACAGAAAGAGTTAGTTGATAGTCTTCGTGATCGTTTAAGACTAAAATTCGAAGCAGAAAAAGAACAAGCATCAGAACTATTAACTAGCATTGTTCACAATGTTGTTGATGAAGTTTTGAGCAAACAACATGAGGATATATCGAATATTATTTTAAAAGAGCTGATTAATGTACAAAGTAAAAAACCAAAAGGAATAAGATATCATCCTATGTATGTGAAACATGAAGACATTTTTAGCAAAAAAAAAAAAAATACTAATTATGTTATTTTAGGTTTATTTGGTGGGCAATTTCTATTTATAGCAGAAGTCCAGCTGCATATAAAGCAATGAAATCGGTCATTCGAATGCCATTGTTATCAATACTCAAAAACTATATTAATGAGACTGATCAAGGTACAGGCTGGCAAGACAAGGTAGTGAGACGAATGATATCTAGTATGGAGGCAAATAGCATATAGGATTATGCATGTATTGGTTTCTTCTCACATGATTCATTTAAAATTCAAAAAGGTAGGTTAGAATAAAAAAATTAAAATAAAAAAAATAAATAAAAAAAAAATACAAGAAACTTATAAATTTTATTATTATAGAACTTTTGTGGAGTTAACGTGACAATAAATATGTTGGATACATCGACTTCGATGATGAGAATGCTGAACTTGAAACATTTGGCGAACAATGTCTTTATGATGTTCAGAGTTCGAAGCATATGAATAATCATACTAAATATAATGATGATAATGAAAAAAACCGTGAATGAGTTTTAGCAGCTCAAGTGTATCAAATTGTATAGCATTCAATATTTCATTCTTTTAACTTTCCGATAGCTTACTTTAGAGTTGAAACAATAAATGCCCATACTCTCAATACAATTATTTTTTATCTGGCTGCCAAGCTTGAATATGTAGAAATTCATATATATGGCTCTATTTGTGATGGTGCAAGGGAAAATAGAAGGCATATTAAGAGTTTTGATTGGTTTGCAATGACTTGGAAGGTGAATAATAAAGTGGAAGTTCAGTTGTCAAATAAACCAGGAAAAAAAGCTATCAACCAGCTAAAATCATCTCTTTTAACCCAGAATGCTCCAAATTTTCAATTCAACTTTTAGACTCCACACAAACTTATTATAATATTTTACGTTCATTCTTATGGCCTCCGATGCCAACTAAAATTATTTGAAATATTAATGACCAATATGAAGTTCGAAGCACAATTAATAATGAATGGTATCTTGGTAAAATACTTACTGAAATCTCAGCAGATAATTATTTTGACATTGAGGTTATGATTGAAAATAATAGAAACATTGAATCATTTATATGGAAATCGCTATTTAGTGATATTCATCCTGTATATGATGAAAATGAACATTGGGTATCGCATCTGGCTATTAATCCTGTAACTGGCAAAACATGGTTTTTTTTAAATGATTCAACTCATGTTTTCAAAAAGTTAAGAAATAATGTTTCTAAAAGCCATACTAGCAATGGTGAAAGCAAGAATATAAGAGAAATAATATTTGATAGGTGGAAAATTAGCTAGCAGTATTTTCGAGGTGTATATGATCATACGACAAAACACATGATGGCAAAAGCTACCAAGTTGACAAAGCGACATATATGGCTTACCCCTTGGAGTAAAATGAGAGTAGACCTTGTGGAGCATACGCTATCGTTTGATGTTAAAAGAGCAATGGCAAATATTCCAGAGTTAAGCTATATTTCTCAAGGCACCCAGGTTTTTTTTTTTTTTTTAAGTTACGATAGTGATTCTTTTTTAAATTTAATAAAAAAATCTATATAAAAAACTTAGTACTTCGAGTCAAAGTGTCCCAGTAGTTGAAATAGATTTTTATTTGATTTAAAGACTATGATATTTTTATTTATTGTTACTCATCTAATATATATTTATATTATTATTAGTTATTTATTCACTATACACATATGTATCGAAACATTACATATAGTCGGATATGTATTTCTTCTCTAGAAGATCCACATTTGAACACTTTGAAAGAAATAAAATGATGGTTCATTCAAGGTGATAAACATAAAAAAAACTCAAGTCAGTAGTTTTCTGCCCAGTATCAATTTGATTTGATTTTATCAATCAATAGATTTCTTGGGATTGTAGAATATATACTCATCAATTGGCCAGGTGTTATGATTCAACCGAGAAGAGTTTCTCAGAATATGCTTGAGAGTTTATTTGGAACAATCAGAGAAATGGGTGGTAATTCTTCCACGCAAACTGTTCAATCCTATGGGTATGCGATAAACAAATTAACAATTACAATACAAATGACATCAGAAATAAAAAGCTTGAATTATGGTTTAGCTGATGGTTTAGGCATGCTCACTGATTTAAAACGAAGGTAATTTTTATTTATGCAAACTTACCAATAAACTTAAATTAATTTTTTTTATTTTTTATTTTTATTTTTTTATTTTTTTCAATTTTTTTTATTTTTTATTTTTTATAGAGATTATTGAACAATTTTACGATCTAATGAGCAAAATTTAAACCCATATCATTGCTATAAAGATAGAGTTAAGATACTTTCCACTTTTAGTCACCAAATATTTCAAGAGCTTCTTAATGATGATTTGGTAATGGGACAAATACAGCTGCTGCTATCCTCAAGTAATGAAAATATTAGAATAGAAAATACAACTATTAATTGCTTGCAGCTTGAAAGAATGCAGCTGATTGAATTTTTATTATATGAAGAAGGTGTTGAAGCTTTTTTAGTAACTTTGTCAGAAAAAATTCGTCAAATGGCATTAAATTCTGTTCCATTAAAAAAAAGCACACGGTCAACAAATCTGGAAAATAGATTAAATAATTACAAATGTGCAGGTGACTAGTTTAATAACTTTCAGTTGTTGGCTTCAAATAATATCAGTATAGAAACTCAATGATTGGTAGCTTATATGCTACTTGAAAAAACCATAAGAATTATGTTTAAACAAGCATATAGTGAACAATATCATAGTCAGCTCATTTTGAATTATACAGAATCGTGGACTGTATCTAAAAAAATCGTTAGCTTAGAACTGGCTGAGGTATCAAAGTTCCAATATATTATTGGATGGACTATATATAAATTGACTAAAAATGATCAACTTACATTAGCACATAAAGAGTTTACAAAAATTAGATCATGCCTGAATGTTCTTAGCTTTGAAGATATAGAATATGTATGTGACACTCGTTCAAAGATGACGACGATTATTCCAGGGGCCAATTTTATTCAATTTATGTATTATTTAGAGTCACCTATCCTTCAGTTATTTGAAAAACATATTGAATATGGTCTAAATATTTTAATTTACATCAACAATAATCTCTTAAACAATTAACCTTTAAAAGAGCAGTTTAATAACCTTTTGCAAATAGCATATAAGATTCAATTTGAAAATCAAGAATTACTTCAGAATTCATATATGACCATATTCAATTATCAAAAGAGACTGAAAACTATCTATTGGCACGCTTGATCAAGATTTATATGAGAAGTAGACAATGATCTTGGCGACAATTTAAAGAATATATTCCAGAAAAAGGTTTATCTAGCTTATGAGAGAATATCAAGGCAATGAATTCAGATTTAAAAAATGATGCAACAAAAGAGAATAAGCTAAAAATAAAGTCCATTATATTTAAGAAAGAGATGCTACCAGAAGATCTTGACTTGGCACTTTGTCTGCTTAAAATTTGGACTCGAGATAATGAAGCTAAAAGTGCATTTGAGAAGGTATTTACATTGTCTGATCTTAAGATTCTTGTCCAAGCATTTCAAAATGAACCAGTAAAAATGAAAGAAAAAAAAAAGTCTGTCCTTCTGGATCTATTGTTTAATCATTTGCAAAGCAGCTCAGAATTTAATAAAGAAATGAAAAAGAAAGGTCAACTTTTTGATTAAAACAAAATTGAGAATTACTCATAATTCATATGTAAATTTGATTGTTATATATGCAAACTCTACACTTTATTTGAAAATATGTATATTTGTCTTATATAATGATAATATGATTAATTTTAATTTATATTTAGGTGTCCAGATCAAATATGACAATTCCAATAGACAATATAGCTTTGGTATTTTAAATCTGCTAAAAGTGGCTATTCAGATAGACAATGCAATTATGAAGTTTATGCAAAGGTATAAAATAAAAAATGATAATTGAAATTTGCCAAAATAACTATTCACTCGGACAATATAATCTTGGAATTTGCTATGACGAAGATATAGTATAATCAAGAATAAAAAAAGGCATTTGAATAGTTTTTTGAAATTCTTTGAAGGTGGCAATTTATAATGAAAACATATGAAAAAACATCTAGTGGTATTCGAAAGGGATATTCAGGTGAACAACATAATCTTGATTTTGTATTCGTAAAGATGCAGGGTAAAAAAGCATTTGAGTGATATTTAGAATTTACTGAAGGTGGCAATTCTTTTATAATCATAGTATCTCTATAAAAGTAGTGTAAAAGCTAGGCAATTGATTAATTTTTAAATATGCAAAAAGGTAAGAACTTTAATGGATAATATGAAGTTAGATTATGCTATG